TTTTTGTCATTGTATTAATAATGTATATTATTCTTTACTGTACTTGTTACTTGTTTAGATATATAAAGTTTGATATAAATATTTAAAAAGTAGTTTTAGACATATTGTAATGCAAGAGTTAAGATATGTGCAAATTAGATTAAAATTATAATAAATAAAAATTTCTGTCATATTGAAACATAATAAATGTATAATATTTAGTATACAAGCTATGAAGTTAATCGAAGAGAACAAGAACCAGTTCTGATTTATCATGGACTTTTGTCAAGTTCAGCTGACTGGGTATTATCTGGTCCAAGGAAGGCTCTAGCATATATTTTATGTGACAACGGTTATGATGTTTGGTTAGGAAATGCAAGAGGTAATACATATTCTAGAAAGCACAAACAATATACAACCAGAGACAGAGAATTTTGGGATTTTAGGTAATTTTAATGAAAAAATTACTAAATATGAAAGATAGAATAATAAACAGACGTAAATGTAAGACAAATAAATGAATATGTAATAAATTAATTATATTAACAAACAGGTGAATAATTTCATTAACCTTTTAGCTGGCATGAAATTGGTTATTATGATTTACCAGCAACAATAGACTACATTTTAGAGCAAACTGGACATACAGAGCTCAATTATGTGGGTTATAGTCAGGGTACAACTGCATTTTTTGTAATGGCCAGTGAAAAATCTGAGTATAATCGAAAAGTTAAGGGAATGATTAGTTTAGCACCAATAGCATTCCTTTCAAACCACAGAAGCCCTTTACTCAAATTTATTGTTCCTTTTTATGGCTTAATGGAGGTACGCTTTTAAATACATAAAATAACTATTATGATCAGAGGTGGTTCAAGTATAATAGTGTTTACATATCAATGTGAAGATTTTTTACATGAAGTACAATGTAAGTCTCAAATTTAAAGATTCTAGAAGTCGTCTCAATACCGGCTATCACATCGTGATAAAGAAAAACATAGCTTTGCATTCAAAAAAATTGAGATGACCTTGAAATCTCTTCTATACCTTCACCCACGCAAAAAATGTTTGTATCACAATATGTCCCCCTCTATACCATGCAAGTTTTATACATAACATTTTTTCATATTATTGCAAATAACGGAGATATTCAAGGTGGACATAGTTAGTGCCCCACCCTGTACATATATGGGATTGTAAATGTATGAATGCATCACAGATAGATCCACCTCTAGTCAGACATTTCGTACTTTTTTTAATTCATATTTCTATGGTAAACGTGTTTCAGTGGGGAACATCTTATTGCAATATACATCAGTGGTTCGCCCGTAACAGGTTACAGACACGAGCCCTTGGTACAATATTTCGAAATGCTTCTGGCGGTTTTACTGAAGGATTCTGGATGTACTGGTTTTCACTAATTGCTGGATATGATAGTGATCAGGTAGAGAAGTCTATGCTATCACTAATTTTTGGACATTTTCCAGCTGGTGCTTCTGTTAAACAAATCATTCATTACTGTCAAAGTATACTATCAGGTAATTATTTCATAATCAATTTAATGTTTAGTTTTGTTTATTATGATTATGAATTATTTATATAAATTAATCAATATTTATAAGCTTGTGCACAGAAATTGCATAAGCTAATATAATTCTAACTAAGTATTATTATATGATATTATTTTCTTTTTTAACAGGAACATTTTGTAAATTTGATTATGGAGCAACAGAAAATCTCAAAATGTATGGATCGACACAACCACCAAAATATGACCTCAAAGAAGTAAAAACACCAGTTGCAATATTTTATAGTGAAAACGATTTTTTAACTGATCCTGCAGATGTTAAAAAGCTCACTGATAGACTTCCAAATGTTATACAGACAAAAAAAATTGAATACTCAAAATTTAATCACATAGATTATATGTGGGGTAGGGATGCCAGAACACTTCTCTATAATGCTGTTGTAACAGCTTTAAGAAAAATAAGATAAAAAGA